TTCGGAAACGATGCGATGAGAGAATGAAGAAACGGAACTTTGCGCAGAATTGGGAAATGATACGGGGATACTCCTTAAGAGCGTTAATCGGGCGCTCGAAGCGCGGACGCTTTGCGGCACTTCGGGAAGCATGCGAGAATGAATGAGACATGACGAAGGAAAATACTGATAGCGGGGGATATGAGAGGTATTGTCTCCCCGCGAATAATGCAGATCATCGAAAATTAAAAACCCTTTTCCTCCTTTACTTTCGGCGGATGATCCGAACACGAATGACCGCTTGTACAGCGCTCGCAGCGCTTTACCCAAGGCAGCGTTGGAATGCGTAGCTCCTTGCGCGTGTTTGGGTCAGTAACCAAAATATCCTGTTCCCCGTCAGGGAGATCAAACGTGCGACAGGTAGTTAGCTTAAAGAATGGGCGACCGAGAAGAATTTCGAAACTTGCGCGCGGTATGACTTGTACTTGGAAGTACAGCGGTCCTCTGCCGAAATCTAGCGGCACATTCTCGATGACGCCGAGCGTCGCGTCCTTGTTAGTATTAACCGATTCCATGTTTAAGCGATGGTCTGACCGCAGACCAACACCGAGCGTTTTCCAAATTGCGGCTGGCATTACCACGACTTCGGCGCCTTGATCTAGGACACAGGTTACCACCCTGCCGCCGATGGTAGTTGCGCGAATGCAGCGTAGTGGCGCAAAATGGTCTGCTACAACTCGGCCATCGTCGCTTCGCAAGCGTTTGGCGTCATAGTCGCGCATCCATTCATCCGAAACCGGGTGTCCTGTAAGTTCGTTCACTGATACTGTGCCGACCGTGACGCGCTTTGTGGTGGTGAGGTCGCGGAATTGCTTGCGGAGGTCGGGCGATATTGCGAACAGTTCCCGTGTCGAAATATTGATATGAGTATCTAGTAGGCGCTCGAGGATGCGCTTATCGGTGTCCTTGTCCTCTAAGCCGTGCGAATACCGGTATGATGCCGTTTTTGCCGAAGATGATGCCGTGTTTGTTGTCGAGTCTGTAAGGTCAGTGTGTGTTATAATGGGTGAGGATGAAGATGAAGTTGCGGGAGCGGTGTTTGTCCTGCGTGCGTTTGCCGATGATTCGGCCGCTGCTGGCGCGGTTATTGCTTTCGCAACTTCCGGCGCTTTCCCTTTACTTGACGAAGCTTGGACAGCGGGGGAGACAATCTCCTCTGCTACAGTGGCTTGCCTAGATGCGGGTGCTGGTTTGGCGCGATACTCGCTAGCAATTTCTACGCCGTCAAACCGGACGGTCTTCCCCTTACCTTCGCCCTTCGCCGATCCACGCTTGGTATCGCGTCGGGCGGTTGCCAGCGCGAGTGCTTGTGCGGCACGTAACACATCTACGTCCTCCTCGTCTATATCAGACTCAGATTCTGCGACGGTATGGATAAACGCGGACGGGTCTATGTCCAATACGACGTCGACATCCGTCGCCACGCGAACATATAGCGCCGCGGTAACGCTAGAACTTGGAAGCGCCTCGTTTGCCTGTTTGTTGGAGTGATACCTATCTAGTCGGTCCTTTAGGGTACCGTCGCTCGCGCGACCGGGAATCCAATCTCCGCTGGTTAATACCAGTTTCATCGAGGTTTCGTGTACCTTACACTTGCCGGCGCTAATGTAGGTGTCCTTCTCTTGACAGCGGCTGAGGAAATGGTCGTTCTTTCCGCAAAACATACAAGCGCTCGATGGTGAACCACTACCGGGTCGTCGGGCTTGGTATTCCTGCTTGACAACGGTACCTTGCGCCGGTTGTTGCGGTGCTTTTGCCGCCGGTGCGGTAGCGCTTGGATATGGCGTCAATACCGACGTCCCTACGGTTTCAGGGCTTACTGTTCCCATTCCTGGAATCAAGAATTTGGCGGCTGCGTCTACATCTGCAAAAGGGTAAGGGTCGCGCGGGTGGTGATCTGGGAATTTGATCATTAAGCGCATGCGAAGCAGCGCTTGGATATTGCTCGGAAACCCTTCTAACCACATGCGGTTCCGTTCCGCCGTACCTATGTGATCCTTCGCAATCAAGGAATCAGCAATCTCCCTGAAGGCGCGGCGGTAATTGCCGAGCTCGGTGAGCGAAGGCATTGGTAGAGCCGCGTGTTTGCGCGTTACCGACTGTAGGTCGGATACTGCGTAACGCTTCTCGCCTTCACAACCGGGATACATTTCCTTTACCTCCTTAATAAAGGCGTTATAGTCGCTTAACTTTGCCTCCGGCATTCCGGACCAGAGCGCGCGCTCGCTGTTAGGCAAGTAGCGGATGATACCCTTGATGCGATCGCCTCCGACGAGGTTCGCGTCGTCGGCGCACGCTTCATAATCCTCGATAAATGCAAGAAGATTTTCCGCCGTGCCGTCGAACTTCGGCGCTTTGTCCGAACCACGAATCGGCATTCTGATAGTTGCGGCCATTTGGATAGGTTGGGATTGGGGTTTGGTAGGTTGAGGTTGGGCTATGATGGGTGTTGGAAGTATGACGTTTGAAGGTCCAGGATGACCAAACTGAGGGATAAATATGGCGGCGCGGTTCCGAATAGAGTTCGGCCCGATTAGGGGTTCCGTTTGTTCTGTTTTCACGATAGGCGCTGCGCTTGCTGGCGGCGCGTGTATCCGAGATGAAGGTTCTTCTTTTACAGTCGCGCTGGATATGGTTAGCGGGGTAAGTGGAGACAAAGGAATAAAGTTCGGATCTAGGGGATTTTTAGGCGTTTCAACAAATGCGCCAGGCGGCAGGTTGCGGGGATGGTCGTGTGATTCGAATTCGTCCGAGGATTCGCCGTGTACTGATTCTCTGGGCGATGGCGTTACTGGCGATGCGGGTGCAAACGGGTTTGGTGTTAATAGGGATAGATTGGGGCGCGTTGGCTCCGAGAAGTTTCGCGGCCGATTATATTTGACCGGAGTCAAAATTTCCTGAATGGTGGATAAGCGCGAAGAGGCGACCGCTCTTCGAAATTCTTCCAAGACTTCGTTTCTTGCGACGCGTTCTTTAGTAGGCCTGAGTAACCTACCGGTTTTCTCAGATGATCCCCTCGCGGTGGGCTCCAGTTGTAGAAGAGGAATGGAAAGTGGGTGAAAATAGGTGGTGTGAGATAACTCAAGTAGTCCTCGGTGAGCGAGATATACGTCGGCCCAAGGGGATTGCTACTGAGAAGGTTCCTCTAGGTGTATAAACGGAGGGAAACACTGAACCGGGCGCTTGGTCAAGCCTGGTTAGGCGCGCGACAATGAGCGAAGCGCGAGCGAACGAAAGCGACGTGAGGCGCCGATGAGCGATAGCGGCCGACGACAGATATCGGCGCGCGACTTATACGGAAGCGCGCGCTTTAAGCAGAAGCGATGCGCGCGGGGGTGATAGAGCGCAGCGACTCTTAATGAGTCAGAATACTAATTTGACAGAGTTTCTAGTAGAGTACGGCGACGGCGCTCGTATTGTACTTTGATACCCTTTCTAGTTTTTAGAGGATAACTTTAGACTTATAGTCCAACGACGTGTGGGCAGGAAAAGATACCCTTACACAGTTTATGTACGTCTATATATACTAAGTAATGATAAGCGCTGTCAAGCGCTAAAGCGAGCCGAGAAGCGAAGCGGACGCGAGATAATATGTAATAAGGGTTCATAACGGAAACATACGAAATATGACCATAAGTGCCGGAGATATGTTAAATCAATGAAAATAGAATCGGAATACGCACCGACGAACCGAACGGACATGGAATGGATGGATGGAGGACGTGCGACGGAACCAAGGATGTGCGCGCCGATGCGCGACTAAGAAGCGACCGGAGCGCTGGCGCTTGCGAGCGGCCGACAAAGCGCGGGGGCGCGCTGCGTGAGGTATGAGTCGCGCTATGTGAGGAAGTGGTAGTAAGAATGGGATTTTAGACCCCTGCAAGGCCACAGAGATATTAGTCTCTACAACGCACCAGCGAATCAGTAAGGACATGGGATGAATGGACGGACAATAGTGCGAAGACCTAGGAGAAGGCGCGCGAAGCGCGCATAGCACGTGTGCAGGTAAGGCACGCCTAAGTGCGCGCGAGTCCGGATAAGGCATGCACAAGACTGGTCCTTAGGATTAGAGCTGTAGCATATAGGAATGTATGGGTAAAGGCCGGATATTCGGCATTGAGACGCGCGAGTCTCTACACTGGCTTAGGCTTGCCATATTTCAAGCCTAGGCCATGAGCCCAAGCCAGCCCAAAGCCGTGGCTTGAGCCACACTAGGCCGCGGCTTCATGGTATGCAAAATTGTAGACTCGTAGTTTAGTAGCACAAGAAAATACATGAAGTAACTAGTCAGAAAACTCATCATCATCTAAAATCAAAGCATCCCAAGCATCCTCCTCATCTGCAACATCAGTCCTCTCCTCACTGTCAGCTTCCAATTCAGAGTCATCACATGCCTCCGACTCCACAAGAGAGGATGGTCCAGGCTTGCGAAAGAGAAGGTCGTGTCGTATTGCACATTTGACACATTGGAGAGCTTCCACAATGTCTCCTTTAAGCTGGTTCTGTCGTTTGCTGATCGTGATGCCACCTTGCAAAAATGCGCGCTCGCTTGATACTGATGATGACATGATGGATAGGTAATCTCGTGCGAGCGAGGCCCATACTGGATATCTTGGTGCATTTATCTTGAGCAAAATTGACATCAGTGCAAATTTTCCAAGTAGTGCAAGCCATAGTACGTACCCCCCATCATTGTATGGTAGATACACCTGCTGGTAGAGCCGCCTCAACAGTCTCCAGGTAGCTCATAAATTTGGCGCTCCATGGCCGTGATGGATCGCCAATCGAAGTAGGGGTGGGGTTCATAAGTAAGTCGTCCTCCGAATCACTGATGACTTCGTGGATGAGTGACTTGAGACCACCTGCCTTGCTTTTCTTGGACGTGGGCTGGGATGACGACAAAAACGTAGCTTCTTCATTCAGCTCACGATAACGAGCTTTGAACTGGTGGCAAAATCAGACTATCGACATACCTGATCAGTCGCGACAAGCCATTCAATGGCAGCTTGTCTGAACAACTTGTCAGAATACGGTACAACTCGTTTGGCCTTGTGTTCAGTGAGATGGGCATTGATCCTTTGCTGCGCAGCGTTCTCCTTTCGAGCCTTCACATCACCAGGTAACATTGATTTGAATGAATGTTGGTTTGCCCATTTGCGATACTTGCCAGAAAAATGGGCCTCAGCGTGGCGATGAAGGGTGGTGATTTCATTGACAAGGACACATTTTTTCCTATGAACGAGTGAGTGAATGAGTAGTATGAGAGTACAAAGGTAGACTTACGGACAAACACTACACTTTCGGTGTTTCTTCACTTTGCCATTGGCCCCAGTTTGCTCAAACGTCGCTCCAAAGAATGTGTTGATATCGGCAGTTTTGCCTTCCCGAGATGATCCTGGGTCCGCGATTGAGACATCGATGTCGATGAAGACCCCATCTCCGTCAACCAACTCGGGGGACTTCTCTGGGGCCTTCTGTTTCTTTCTACGAGGCTTAGGGTTTGTACGAGCATCCTCGCGGACCGAGTCATGGTCTTTGTCGACAGATTTGTTGTCTTCGATGTTGACGAAGGTATCATCAGGATGCAAGCGCTTGTTGGACGAGGGAATAACTGAGGAACAGATTAAGTTTGCGAAGGCAGCGAAGTTGAAGCGCCAGGCAAGACTGTAGAGGTGCATGGATTGCTGAATGTTTTCTTTTCAAGACCGGGGCAAATATCAGCGAGCTTTCAAAGATAAATAACATGACAACGGCGACTCACTGTGATCTCATTCTGACATACCTCATGGTATGATCGATGATTGATTCCCAGTGAAAATCGACAAGAATGAGGCAGATAGGTAGCGATACACGTCTAAGTACCAAATGATATAGATAGAAATCTAAATAATTCGAGATGGAAAAATGCAAATTGTAAAATTAAATGCAAAGTCCAAACTTGCGAGAAATTTGCAGTGTATTTGCTGCAAATGTTGCAAACGACACTTTGCAAATTGCAAAGCTACGCCTAGATTAACATTGCGATTGCGCATATACGCTTCCTTGATCGCGATCACACAGCTACATGAATTCTATAACCTCCGAGAGCCTCGAGGCTGGCATACATCGACTTGCAAACGGTACTGATACTTACATATGCGATTGTGATGCCTGTCTTCGGAAGAACAAAGGCAAGCCCAAGCGTGTACCCCGAACTACTTACTTCCGGCACAAACCCAACAGACTCGCTAGACTTTTTCCCCCACCACTTCCTGCACAAACTCCAGCTCCTATACCGGCGCCATCGTCTAGCAAGCGTCCTCTGGATGCTTCTGATCACCCCGAACAGCCACCCATATTGAAGCACAAGGATGATCGGATTGATGGCGCAGAAGACGGTGTGTTCATAACCCTGTGATCAATATCAATTTGCTGATATGAATAATAAGATTTTGATATACCTGAGGCTGCTGACAATATTCCAGGCCCTGACGCACTCGATGGAGCTTTCGATCACCTTGAGGACACCAATTTTGGTGATACGGGACCCGAGGACAGGGAGGAGGAAGAGGAAGCTCGTGTTGAGGAAGTGCAAGCTCGTGTTGAGGACACCAATTTTGGTGATACGGGACCCGAGGACAGGGAGGAGGAAGAGGAAGCTCGTGTTGAGGAAGCACAAGCTCGTGTTGAGAACACCAATTTTGGTGATACGGGACCCGAGGACAGGGAGGAGGAAGAGGAAGCTCATGTTGAGGACAATATACCCGAGAACTTCGATCAAGACATGCCCCCGGATGACGTCGATCTCGAGGGTGCGGACACTGACTTGGGAACCATGGGCTGGACGGACGAGGACTTGGACGAGCTACAGCAGATGGCATGCCTTGAAGATGCCCAGGATTCAATGTCATTCATTACTGCTCTCCGAAAAGCATCCCTAGACGACACACACTCTAAACTACCTCCAGACGCACTAGACAGACTTCGAAACCCTCCCCGCGAACTCCCCGATATGTCAGATCCTGATCTTATCCTTTCATTAAAATATTACTTTGCAAATACAACAATCGCTGCTTACAATCTTATCCGCGAGGCCACGATCGAACGACACCCCGAAGATGATGTATATAGTCATTACCGGGTTAAGCAAGCTGTCTGTGAACTTAGTGGTGTCGTCCCGATCGTTAATGACATGTGTACCAACACATGTCTCGCATTCACAGGTCCGTACGCCGAGCTCGATCATTGTCCTCGATGTGGAGAAGATCGATGGGACGCCAAAAAAAGCTCACCTCACAAGAAGGTAGCTCGGAAAACGTTTGACACATTTCCTGTTGGACCGCAGCTCCAGGCCCTATGGCGCCATCCAGACCAGGCAAAGAAGATGCGATGGCGCCAGGAGTACACCAACAAGATCATCGATGAATTGAAGACAACCGACGGCGTTCCGGAGGTATATGAAGATGTTCTTCATGGGAAGCAATATCTGGACGCGTGCCAATCTGGCAAAATTAAAGATGGTGATGCGGTTCTTATGTTCTCGATCGATGGTGCCCAGCTCTATGAATCCAAACAATCCGACTGTTGGATATATATTTGGGTAATTTTCGATCATGCGCCAGACGTCCGGTACAAGAAGAAGTACATACTCCCGGGCGGTATCATTCCTGGCCCCAAAAAACCCAAAAATCTAGATTCTTTCATTTTCCCCGGCCTACACCATCTTCGCGCAATTCAGACAGAAGGGCTTCCAATTTGGGATGGCGCGAAGAAGGCTCTATTTCAATCTAATCCCTTTCTCTTTGTTGCAACAGCTGACGGCCCCGGCATGGCATTTCTTACTGGCCTCGTGGGTCACCATGGCAGATTCGCATGTCGTCTCTATTGCGGACTCCCAGGGAGACACAAACCAGGTGCACCTACGTACTATCCTGCCCTACGTCAACCTGAAGGTACTGATCAACCTGATCACCCCGACTTCTTCATTGATCGGCTTCCCCTTCCCGGATCATTCGATTATGAACGGAACCTCAAGCGTGTGATCCGCTGTTCCAACATGGCCGAATACGAGCTTGCACGCCTCGAGACAGGCATTATGAAACCAAGCATCTTCTGCGGCTTCAACACTGACCGTATTTTGCTGGTGCCGCTGTGCTTTGGCTCTGACATCATGCACATCGCTGCCATCAATACCGGTGATCTCCTTCTACCCCTCTGGAGAGGAACCTTTAGAGCCGAGACTACGGATGATAAATCCACGTGGGCCTGGGCTGTTCTGACGAAGGCGACTTGGAAGGCACATGGATCTCTGATCACAGATGCAACACCCTTTCTGCCGGGTTCGTTTGATCGACCTCCTCGTAACCCAGCAGAGAAGATCAATAGTGGGTATAAGGCCTGGGAATGGCTTCTCTACCTGTATGGGATGGCACCGGCCACACTCTACGGCATCCTTCCTGAGCCCTATTGGTCGCATTTCTGTCGTCTTGCCCGGGGACTACGTATAATGCAACAATACCATATATCTAGATCAGATCTCATTGAAGGCCACCATCACCTTCTTAACTTCGCGGATGAATTTGAAGAGCTCTACTACCAGCGCCGGATCGATCGACTTCATTTCGTTCGACCATGGCTCCACTCGATCACACATATCGCTGGTGAGACAGTCAACAAGGGACCACCTATCTGCTCATCACAATGGACTATGGAGCGAACTATTGGCAACCTAGCTCAAGAGATACGACTACACAACTCCTCTGTCTACGCTAATCTCTCTCAACGTGCTGCCCGTCGTTGTCAAGTCAATGCCATCAAGGCTATCATACCAACAATCGAACCATCGGATAATGCTTCCCCGAAGGGCTCGTTGGATATCGGCCAGGGATATTTACTGCTGCGGCGAAGAGAGAGGACAGCTCACGCAGTACGTCCCTGTGAGGCCCAAGTACTACTTCGCTACCTGTCCGACAACAATGTTCATGTTACCTCCGCCCCTCTCATCACTCGATGGGCTCGTCTTCGCCTTCCAAATGGGCAAGTTGCACGGTCTGCATGGAAGGAAAATGCTATGTCCAAGCAACCAAGAATGGCACGCAATGTGAAGGTATGTTTTTCATGGTCACTCTATTAGTATTATACATTGACACGTACACTAAAGTTATTGATTGACGGCAAGACCACTGTTGCCGAAGTCTTATTTTATTTCAATATGATGCTTCACGACGAAGAGAAGACCTTTGCTTTCGTATCTGAATTCAGCCAGCCGCACACAGATCTATTTGAAAACTCGTCGCAAACGGTCTTTGCCTGTCGTTATCGTGGAGACGCTTCATTGAAACTTGTCGAGGTTCATACTATACAGTCTGTGGTGGCTATGATTCCTCATAATTTTCCGGGTATTGATGGCGTTCTTTTCTACCTCGTGGAACGACCAGGGTTGGACATTATAAGAATGAGTGGTGTGGAAGAGGAGGGTATTCTTGACGAAGAATGAGTTCAATTACTTTTTTATACGAGATGCAAGCATGTTTATTTATCTGACTACTGCATCACTAAAGAGCTTCTTCAAGTTCTCGTTTCATTGCACGAACCACAAGAAAATTCTTGTCTGTACGCGATCGATCGTACCATGCTTCATCCTCCTCCTTCGACACGTACTTCCAGTAAATTGATCCAGGCGGTGGTGGGCTTGGCGTTGCAAATATAGACTTCATATTACTTTTGGGCATGGAGAGAACTGGTCGGGTGATAGTGGACGAGTGTGCCATTGGCTCAGGTGGGTCGCTTTCAGGCTCGGTGACGCTGTCAGGATCGTTCACACAAGGAGGGGTGATGACTTGCTGTGGTGTTGGCTCAGGTGGGTCGCTTTCGGGCTCGGTGATGCTTTCAGGATCGTCCACATGAGGAGGGGTGATGACTTGCTGTGGTGTTGGCTCAGGTGGGTCGCTTTCGGGCTCGGTGATGCTTTCAGGATCATCCACACGAGGAGGGGTGAAGACTTGCTGCAGTGTTGGCTCGGGTGGGTCGCTTTCGGGCTCGTCAGGCCAGGGAGGCATAGTATTTGGGTGATGCCTTCAATATAAGTTGTTGAACCGAGATATAATCATATAATAGTGACTCACAACAGTTGCTGTCTGATCAAGTGTTCTTTCTCTGGATGCGCATGCCAGTATGCTGGGTTGACAAACATATCATCCGAGGGTGTCATCTTTGGTGTGCTGGAACGACTGTCTGAAAAAGATATGCTAAGATACATTAGTGATAACAGTGTTAGAAGTGATGGAGAACATACCTAGTATCAGCATCGTAGCCATCATTATCCTGATCAAAAGACATATCTAAAACTCGTTGAGTGGATGTAGGATGAATTGATGATACTATAGAATGAATTGGACTTAGTCCGAAGTTTCCTTTCTTGACTTGTACTGCAGCGCCCCTTCTCATCATACCATCATTATGCCCGACACAACGACTTCACTGACAGGATACGCCAATCTCCTCATGTCTCAAATTTCTCCACAACATTCTTTTAATTCACAACTTAATTCCGGCGGCTCACATAATTTTCAAAATACCCGGCGTGATTGCGATACCAATAATACCGTGAGTTCTATGATAGAGAACTTGTTACATTAATGAGATACACGTGTCATTAGTCTACCATGTTGCCCGAAGGGCTCTGGGCTCTTCTTGATCA